AGATTTCCAATGATGAATGTCATTATATTGTATACCTAAAATGTACCAATGAAATTAATTTTTTTTTTTTTGGTACCGGGGATCGAACTCGGGTCTTTGCGCTTGCGTAGCAGGCGGCAAAACCACTGAGCTAAATCCCCAGGCCTGAAATTAATTTTTTTAAAAAGAGGTAGAAATATGTAGCAGAGTTCTTTTCCACACATCTCTGCTTGGATTTTCAAATCAATTGGGAAATGATTGAAAGTACAATAAAAAAATGTTATATTCTAGGCATTGTGTGTCAGAGTGGTAGCAAGCCAGTGAAGATGATGTGTGTGAGATGTGATTCCAGGTTTTGTATTAGAGAAATTGTAATTTCCACATCAAATACATGATTTCATGAATACTGTTTCTTGGGAGACAACTAAATAAGTTTATTGGTCATAAAAACTGAATTGAGGGCTGGGGGTGTACCTCGGTTGTAGAGCACTTGCCTACCATGCAGGAAACACTGGTTTCAATCCCCAGCACTGAAAACAAAGAATTTTTTTTAAAGATTTAACGAAAAATTGTAGGTATGACTAGTTTTAACATACAGCAAAAATCACGATAGTGATGTTCACATGGCTGAAGTTTGGGCAGTGATTCAGAAGTAACTTCCCAGCATAAAGGGAAGTTGTAAGATCTCAATATAAGTAATTTCTCTTACTGTAAAAGTAATGTGACCTTTTTAAGCATGAACTCTGGACACTGTAGGCCAAGTGAGAGAACAAGAAGTAGAATCAAGGAAACAGAAACCAACAATAGTCATCATGTAGGCGTGTCCAGCCTGCTGGCCCCCTAGGATTGGGCAGGTATAACTTTCTTGGGTTGCATCCAGTGAAGAATTGTCTTGAGCCACATATAAAATACATAGTTAACATGCATAAGTAACAGGACTTATTTTTTATACATATGATTTATTAAAACACAGGCATGTCTAAACTGCAAACTGCAGGCTGGACATGGCTGTTAGCAGGACCTCATTTCTGTGTGTCCCACTTAACTTAATACCACACATGGCTTCATTTTACACAGGTCCAGGCTCCTCCTGTTGTTCCTGTAACTCCCTCACCCACAGTGGTACCTGAGGTGGCTTCTGGAGAAACTACAGATGTAGTCCAAGCTGCTGCAGAACTGAGCTTCACGGAACTGGGGCTCGGGTCATACACTCCAGTGGGACTAATCCAGAACCTACTAGAATTTATGCACGTTGACCTGGGCCTCCCTTGGTGGGGAGCCATCGCTGGATGTAAGGGGAATATATCCTGGGCGAGGGTAGAGGAAGGAGGGTTGAGGGGGCAGAGCCTTAAAGGTGGCAGTTCTGTGAGTAGATCAAGGAAGTAGGTACAGAAATTTGGGCTTCAGAAGAGCAGATTTTATGTGGTACCGGGGATCGAACTCGGGACCTTGCGCTTGCGAAGCAGGCAGCAGAACCACTGAGCTAAATCCTCAGCCCAGAGCAGATTATTTAAATGAAGCTCAGGGTACTTAGATACACTGTAGTTATATCTTCTAAAGAGCATTATAAAACCACGTGATCGTCTGGGATTCAAAAAGTATAAATACTTGAATGTAAGCAGGGAGTTGGAGTAAGGGCACCTTTTAACAGCGATGAAGCTGGCTTGGTTTAGGAGAGTAGAAGGTCAGGTCAGGCACTTACACCCCTAAATAAAGAAGCCACTCACACTCCTCTTCTAAAGGCCAGAACTGGTTTGCATTCTGCTTCTTGCACGTTGGCCATCAGTTTTCTCTATCCTGTGTTTTCAGCATCTTCCTTCTCACTGCCCTACCCTAAATATAAACATGCTCGAGCATATCCACATGTCAGTTGTAGCAAATTTTCTTCCTTTCATGCTTGTTCCCCTTTCTTTCCTTTTCCTTTCATACCTTTTAATTAAAAGAGGATTTGCATCCAGTGGGCCCATGTCTTCCCATTTACTCTTTAACCTTCAGCAATCTGGCCTTTACTAAAATCACCTCACTAACTGCTAGTGCCACCATTACTGGATCTACTTTTCATATCATATTTGACCTTTCTGCATTAGATATTTTAACTTGAAATCTGCCCCTTTTTATGAAAATCTTTTCCTGGTTTTGTCTGACTGTGTCTTCCATCTTCATTACCCAGTACCTTTACCTACCTCTTCAGCACTGATATTCTAGGTTCCATCCTTAGCTCCCTGGTCTCTTCTCAGCCCAGATATTCATATGTCTTTAGATACCATAAACTAAATATAATAAACTAAGTATCTGTTAGAAGCCAGACATGGTGGTGCATGCCTGTAATCCCAACACTCTGTGAAGCTAAGGCAGGAAGATTGCAATTTCAAACCCAGCCTGGGCAACTTAACCACTTAGTTAGACCCTGTCTCAAAATAAATTTTAAAAAGGACCGCAGGGCCGGGGATTTAGCTCAGTGGTTCCACCACCTCCCTCACAAGCACAAAGACCTGAGTTCGATTCCCGGTACCAAAAAAAAAAGAAAGGACTGGGTATGTAACGTAGTGTGTAGGCCCTGGGTTAAATCCCCAGTACTGCCCAAAGTAAAAGAAAAAAGTTGTGGAAATGACCAGTAATATGAAATGAAAAGGAGGGACTTAAAGCAGTAAGCCACCAGATTACTTTCTACTCCGAGGATTTCTAGAACAATGGCTTTCAAACCTCATTCCTCGAAGCTCCAGAGTTTTGTAAAGATCCCTCCTCACAAGGTAACTGCTCTAATATAAATAGTCCCAGGCTTTTCCTTCACCCAGGGCTGCTTGATTTATTTATTTGTATGTGGTGTCTATACTTGGAGCTCAAGGAAAAAAAGTTCTATCAGTTAGTTTAGGGCCCAATTGATGTAGAAAAGAAGCTTCTGTCACCCTTTTGTTCAGGTAAACAAACAGGATTCCTGGTCATCTGCTTATAGAAGTTAGTGCTAAACTTTTGTGATGCTGGATCAGAGAAACTGAGCCTTGAGAAACTAAGTCAATACCCTGTCCTGACTTCTGGGCCTCTTGCACATGAGTCACAGTGTGGAAAAGTCTGGAATAAAGAAAGATTTTAACAAGGACCTAAAAACCTTCAACCTCCTAGCTGCAGAACTGTTTTCATTTCACACTAATCCTAGTTTGTATTTTCCAGGTACAGTCCTTGCCCGCTGCCTGGTTCTTCCTCTCATTGTGAAGGGCCAGCGAGAGGCAGCCAAGATCCACAACCATGTGCCAGAGATCCAGAAGTTTTCAGCTCGAATCAGAGAGGCCAAGTTGGCAGGAGACAGTGCTGAGTGTGAGTCATTTTAAGGATGAGCATGGGAGGAAACCACATGTGCACTTCTGACATGCTACTGGGAGAAAGGGACAACCTAAACTAGGAATTGCCACACTGGCACAAGTTCGAAAGATTATGTTTCCTGGGCCTAATGCTTCTGAAGACTGACCTGGTTGGTGTGAAATTTCATGGTCCACGTGATGAGGGCATTCACCCTCACTGACGTAACTGTTAGTCAGCCATTAATTTTGTCTCAACCCACAGTTTATAGGGCCTCCATGGAAATGACAGCATACCAGAAAAAGCATGGTATTAAATTCTTCAAACCTCTCATTCTACCACTGACTCAGGTGAGCAAAAATGTTTCCCTTCTTATCTCCTCCTGAACCCATTAGATGGCCTCCTGTATGTTTCCCATGCCATAAGAGTAGGTAGTGGTGATATACATGGCTTTCAGTGATGGGGTAGTGAAAATGTCCTTTCTGGTAAAATGTGCTGACCCAGTTTATCCTGTGTAATAGGCCCCAATCTTCATCTCCTTCTTCATTGCCTTGAGAGAGATGGCCAACCTTCCTGTGCCAAGCATGCAGACAGGTGGCCTTTGGTGGTTCCAGGATCTCACCGTGTCCGACCCCATGTTCATATTACCAGTGGCAGTCACTGCTACAATGTGGGGTGTCCTTGAGGTAAGCCCAGGCTGGCCAAGTACCAGGCCTGCAGAGTGAATGGGAGCAGAGGCAAAGTGGTTGTGCATAACAGTCACTCTACCTGCTAGAGAAAGAGAATAGATGGGAGGGAGATTGGAACTAAACTCACTGAAAATGATGTTCATTCACTAGTTTTCTTCTGCACCTTTTGACAGCTAGGTGCTGAGACGGGTATGCAAAGTTCTGACTTGCAGTGGATGAGAAATGTTTTCAGAGTGATGCCTCTAGTAGTCTTGCCTGTAACCATCCACTTTCCCACGGTAGGTCATGGCTTAGTGGCTAGTGCCACTTCATTACACCCCGCCTGGCCACCTCCTGGTGGATGGACCAAGGATGCAGCTCCTGAGTACCTTCTCTTTGTTGTCACCCAGGGAGTGTTTGTGTACTGGCTCTCCTCCAATCTGTTTTCCCTGGCCCAAGTGTCCTGCCTCCGGATTCCAGCTGTGCGCACTGTCCTTAAAATCCCCCCACGGGTTGTACATTGCCCTGACAAATTACCTTCACGGGAAGGCTTCATCAAGAGCCTCAAAAAAGGTAAGGGCACAGCCCAGAGATAATGATCTAAAGGTGGGGATGGGACTGATGATCTTTTCCCTCCTCTTCACACAGGCTGGAAGAATGCTGAGATTGCACATCAGCTCCATGAGCGTGAGCAACGTATGCAGAATCACTTGGAGCTAGCAGCCAGGGGTAAATCATCATTGCAGGTTTAATTCTGTCTTTGGTTTCTTCTTTTCCTTTGTTCACTGAAATTTTTTTTTTTTTTCCTCACCCAGGTCCCTTAAGACAGACCTTTACCCACAACCCTCTGCTACAGCAGGGAAAAGATCCCAACACTCCCAACAGTGGCAGCGGCGGTGACAAACCAAAGTCAAAGCAACCATGGCGTGACACGCTTGGCTGACTCATGTTCTCTGCTCATCCTGGCAGGAACTGTCTCTTGAAAGACCCATCCTCAAAAAAGACTTGATACCATGTCCTTGGGATATGGAGACGTTCGTTTTAAAAACTGGTTCCACTGGGGAGCCAAGTGATCTTTCCATCCACAGGGTCAGTAAACCTCTGTACTACAGGCTGCTTCCAGTACTTATTAAACAGAGAAATGGATTGTGTGCTCCAAAACAATGAATAGGTTGGATCATGATTGCTGTTGCTGGCCCAGTCTTGGAAAGTGTTTATGTTTTAACCTGGCCAATAAGAACTTAAACCTCACTGTCAAACATTTGCAACCCTTTCTTGACCCAAAATTACCTATACAATTTTCTTCAAGAAGTAGAAGTGCTGAAATTCTTAGTGATAATTAGGAAAAATGAAAGGTAGTGTTTATTTTATGCACATTTTACAACAGTATGTAGTTCTTTTCCTGTCTTTTGTATAGATTGGTATTATGAACTTTCACCAGCTGGCTTGAGAGGGAAGAAATAATTGGATGTCTTCTTCTTAGGGAAATGGAGCTGTCCCAGAGACACTAATAAGACGAAGCCACTCAAACTTTAGGAACATAATCCTTTTATTGTTGTCCAGCACCTGTCACAGCTTCATGTCTCTAAACGAGACACATTTGGAGCATTGTTGGCCCAAGAAAGAAGAGTAGGCAGGCAGCCCCAGAGGTGCTGTGCTCTCCACCACAGTCTGCTTTATCATCCCTTGACAGAGTCTGGAATGATATGTAGCAAAACAAATAAATTACTTTTCATTTCTAAAATCGAGTTCAAAAATGAAGTTACCTAGACCCAGCTTCGGGACAGGTTCCTCCAAAGAAGTGAGCACTCCTGTTCTGCTTCCTTAGCTCTTGCCAGTAGGAGACAAGAAAGCTTTGCTTTTCACATCTTACTTTCCAGATGGTATTTAGTTAGACTTGGGATCCTGTTCCTTGGATATCCCTTCTCCATCTTCCCAATCCATTTCTGCAGCCACTGACATACACAGGATCTGGAGGTACCATGTGGCCGAAGCTGCAAAGAAGTTTGAGTTAAAACTGGGAGAAGGTCAACTGGGCTGAGTTCTAGTGGCACTGAGGGGCACTGTCTGAAAAGGGGCCGTGGCAAAGGTGACTTGGAGCCTAGGTTTGCAGAAAAAGCAAACACCAGACTTCAAAGTCACTGAGCTGAATTGAGGATCCAAAACTTACCCACAATCCTTCGGAGGCAACGAGGTCGTTTTTCTTCTGGCACTCTGATGATGAGGAAGTAAAAGGGCAAGCCTGACAGGGCAATGCCAGTGCCGATGAGGGAGTTGATGGTGTCACTGTAAAGTGGGACAGCCACCAGGAAGATAGTGCAGAGGCAGAAGACAATGGGGAAGAAAAGGCTGAGCTAAGGGCACAGAGGAAACAACCAGGAGTTAGCTCAGGGTTCTTGACAGCCAAAATAACCGCATCTTCCATAAAGACATGAGCCCAGAAGGACTGGGGCTGTAGCTCAATGGAAAAATGCTCACCCAGCATGCCCAAGTTCCTGTGCTCAATCCCCAGCACCACAAAAATAAGATCAAAGCATTGAGCCTGCCTTCTTAACTATCATTTCAGCATACAACCACCAAGTCCCAGGCAAAGGCTTTGGGAGTCATAAGACTTCTCCTGGGCCAGGGATCTAGCTCAATGGTTCCACCCACCACCTGCCTCACAAGCGCAAGGACCCCAGTTTGATCCCCGGTACCAAAAATAAAAATAAAAAGACTTCCCCTGTAAGCTGGGCAAGGTGACACACACCTATAATTGTCTGTACTCTGGGGGGCTGAGGCAGGAGGATCACAAGCTTGAGCCCAGCCTGGGCAACTTAGACTCTGTTTCAAAACTTAAAAATATGTAAAGAGGGCCAGGGATTTAGCTCAGTGGTTCTGCCACCTGCCTTGCAAGTGAAAGGTCCAGAGTTCGATCCCTGGTACCAAAATATATATATATATATGTAAAGAGCTGGGAAGTCAATGCAAAGGCCCTGTAAGAAGCTCTAGCTGTTGCAGATGGAACAAAGCAGGGATGGACGTAAGTTACCTTGAGAGGACGAGATCGATCAGGTTCCTTCCAGCGCAGATAAAGCTGACCAGCAATAGAAAGACCCACAAAGAACCAGTAGCTGAAGCTGTAGTAGTTAATAAGCTGGAAGACGTCTTCCACACACAAGTAGATCAGTGCCATGATACCCTGTAGCAGAAGCCCAAGTCAACTCCACTTTGGGCCCTTGTCACTCAAGGCGCTTTACACTCCCCTTGCTCCCCAACAAACCATCCTCTGCCGAGTTTTCTCTGCCCTTTTTTGTCCCCACCCCTTCAGCATCCTAGTTTCGATCCTTCCTTCCCTATTACAAGTTGATAGCTTCTTGACTGGATTTTAAGCCCACTTGTCAGATCTTTGCCAAGTGTGACAATCTTGTCAACTTGATTGGCTTGAGCTTCTGCGTAGTGAGTCCTGGGGCATCACTGTGGGGACAGCATCAGGCCCCAGGGCCCTTCCTCTCTCATGCTCTTCCCCTGTGCTCTGCTTCCCAGCTCCCAAGAAGTGAGCAGTTTGCTCCACCACTCCCTTCAACGTGGTGTTCCTGGCTTAGAGCCAGCTGACCATGGACTGCAACCTCTGAAATTGTGAACCACATTCAGCCTTTACATTCCAGGTGTCGAGTATTTTATCCCAACCACAGGAAGCTGATTATACCAAGTTAACCCTCTGTAAAACACAAAATAATCCCTTGAAAGTGTTTTCCTCTCCATTATAACTTCAACTTTTATCTAGTTTTTTTTGTTTGTTTGGTGCCAGAAATTGAATCAGGACCTTGCACTTGCCAGCCAGGCACTGCACCACTGAGCTACATCCCTGGCTCCAGTTCTTATCTCATAATTCCACACAGCTTTACTGCAGGATGTCAGGACTTTCTGATGCTATTTCTCTTACCTAAATCCCATCTCTACTATTTTAACCCTGATCTTCAAAAGCCTGCTAATGCGCTTCCTCCAAGGAGCTTTTTTTTTTTTTCCTCTTCCCCCATGGAAATAATCACATCTCTTAGAAAGAAATGTAAGTCAAGGAATATCACAGAAGAAAAGGCTCTGAAAAAGCCTGGCTGCCTCTCTATCTTGACAATTAATCATTACCACATATTCCATGAACTTTGTGCTTTATCTTAGACCAGAAGCAGTTCCCATTGCTCAGAGAAGTCAATCTCCTAGAAAACACCGCACCAGCTGGCAGTGCCTTGCCCATGGTAGGCAGTGCATCAGTAGTTTTTCTACCACAATCCCTTTAGGGCTTTCCGGAAGCTAGAACAGTTGCATCTAGTATCAAAGTTTCCCCCACAATATATGTGTTTCAGTGTCATCCTTGAGATACTTACATTGAAGAGCAAGGAAGGCACTGGTGTAAACCGCTCAACATGAATCATGCAGATAGCATCAGGGAGGTGCCCTTCTCTTGAGCCCACGAAGAAAAGCCTGTTTAGGATGATAGGAAAGGCTGAGAAAATTGTGAGACACAGGGTCAGCCTGGTTCACCTGCCACACAGCCTCCCGCTTGGGCATCCCTTCAAAAGGTTTGAACACTACAGATTAGAATTCAGTATTAAGAGTAAGAACTGCCACTGGGAACAAGGAAGGTTGGAGAAGACGGGTGATCATAAAGTTGAGGTCCTGTAAGTTGTACCACCTCCTGCCATGGCTCTTTGTAATACCCAACCCTGCCAGCAGAAGATGACCCTCTTACCTAGAAGCAGCCAGAATGGAGGCGTTGAGGCCACCAAAGCAAGATAATGCAACTGCCAGTGGAATCGTCCAGTTGAATACTCCAAAAATCTGGTCTGCAAAAGTCTTAAGGGAAAGGAATGGGAAACAATCACTAGAAGAATCTAAAAGGGATGAAAGACATGAGCAGGCTTGCCCCTAGACTCCTCCTTTCAGAAGTCCAAAGCTTCCACAATGGGGTAACAGGACTTTTTTGCAAACTCAGTGTCCTAAATGGGCTTCTACTCCTTTTCCAAGACTAAAGAGCTGGGATATATTCAGAAGCCCACCATGTGCCATTGACCTCCTGTAAGTAAAAGGCCTTTACCACAGCAACAGCATCACTGGCCAAGATGTCCTTCAAGTCTAGCACAGTGTAGTAAGCCACATTGGTCAAGATGTAGATGATGGTCACAATAGGCATGGAAATGCCAATGGAGAGGGGCAGATTCCTATAGCCAAACAGAATAAAGGACACGTGAGTCCCACAACTGCATCCCTCTCTGTTAGTCCTTAGATTCTCCCTGCCACACCAGTCTTCCCAGGGATGGAGATTCCTGCTACATTTCCCCAGTGCATTTGTCTCTGAGGTTGTCCACAGGACTGGCTGAAGCTCTGAACTCTTCAGAACTAAAGAACATTGTGGGGCAAAGAATATCACATTAGAAGAAAAGGCCATGCAAAACTAGAAAAAGAGGGAGAAGGTGGAGTGAGGGATTTACCAAGAACTATGTTGGCACAATAACAGCACAGAAAGATGGCACTGATTTTGTTTTTATATCTAAACTTCTGAATTCCTTCTCTAATAAGATTATAAAGATTGGGGCCGGAGGAGCCGGGGATTTAGCTTAGTAGTTCTGCTGCCTGCATTGCAAGCCCAAGGTCCTGAGTTCGATCCCCAGTACCAAAAAAAAAGATTATAAAGATTGGAAATTTTGTTTTAAGATTGAGAAATATAGCCAGTCATGGTGGCACATGCCTGTAATCCCACCATTCAGGAGATTGAGGCAGGAGGATTGCTTGAGTTTGAGGCCAGCCTGGGCTGTATAGGGAGTCCAAGGCCAGCCTGAACTACATAATGAGACCCTGTCTCAAAAACAAAAAAAAAAAAGATTGAGAAATATAAGCCAGGCATGGTGGCACACACCTGTAATCCCAGACTCAGTAGTCTGAGTCAGGCGGATCACTGTTTGAGGCCAGCCTGGGTTACATAGCAAGACCCTGTCTCAAAAAGAGAAAAAGGGCCAGGGATTTAGCTCAGAGGCACCGCACCTGCCTCACAAGCACAAAATCCTGAGTTTGATCCCCAGTACCAAAAAAGAGAGAAAGAGTCAGCCATAGATCTCTTAAGGTCCCTCTAGTCCAATAAAGTTGTAATCTTTACAAATATTCTGGAGAGTAGACAGTGGACAGCCAAAAAGAAGAGGGGCAAATTCTCAAGTCATTCATCTTCTGTCCGGTAGGTGGAAGCACCATGCAGGCCTTGACCCTGCGGCTACTATCTGCTCCCTAGGTTGCAACAGACACTAGCCGTGTACCAAGAATGCTTTGTTTATTAAAGCCAAAAGGAGTTCACAGGTATGAGGGCTGTTATTCTTTTGAAATTTTACAGAAACTCCACTCCCTGGAAATCTTAGTTCCCAGATTCAGAATATTTTACAGCCAGGAAAGGTTCTGGAGATTCTATAATTCCACCTCCTTGATAACAAGCAGGCAAAGAGAAGGCAACCCTCCAAGTCATCCAACAAATCAGTGGAAAGACCAACTCAGGACCTCTGACTCCCTGCCCAGTGTTCTCTTCACTCTGCAGACTACAAGGCGATTTGGAGTGTTGGGTGATTGAAACAATACCACACCGGGTATTAGGGAAACAGAGAGTGGAAGGAAAACAGAAATGTTTCTGAAAGTAATTACTTAAAGTTGTCTACATAGGGATAAAGGTGGATGAGAGATTATCAAGAGAAAAAAAGATTTTTTTTCTTTTTTGAGAGAGAGGTCTCACTGTTTTGCCCAGGCTGGTCACAAACTCCTGGGCTGTGGCAGTCCTCCTGTCTCAGTCCCTTGAGTAGCAGGGACTACAGACATGTGCCTCCACACCTGGCAAGGAACACGTATTTTAATTTTTTTTTTTTTTTTAGTACCAGGATCGAGCTCAGGGACCTTGCGCTTGCAAAGCAGGCAGCAGCATCACTGAGCTAAATTCCCCGCCCAAAACATTTATTTTAAATGCACACACAAGCACATAGCACATCTTGCAGGAATGAATGAATGTATGAATTTACAAAGCATTCCCAAGAAACTTCACATCTTAGCTCTGTTACTGGCTTGTGGATGAGTTAAATCTCAGGACCTTTGGCTTCCTATCCATTACAATAGGGCTGCTGAAATTGGCCCCATAGACGTTGTGGCATGCTGCCTGGCACATAGTAGGAGCTCATTAAATGATGGCTGTCACTGCTATGAAAAGTTGGTGGTGAGGTACTGACCTCTCGGGATTCTTGATCTCTTCGGTGACATAGTTGAGGGTGTCCCAGCCTGAGTAGGAGAAGAGAGCTGAGTACAGCGCCAGGGCAATGTCACCCACTACAAACGATGAACCCTCGAAGGAATTCTCCAAGTTAGCTGAGGCTCCTGGAACCCAAGCATAGTAGAAGGTGGGAGGGTTAGTGGTTCATTCCCCTAACTTCAAGATGATCCAGTAAAGGAGCAGAAAGATAGATATGGTAATAGCAACAGATGAATGGCTTACAGCACCTTGGGTTGTTGTAAGGACAGGAAACAGAAGGTGGGCTAGCGTGTACAGAATGGCATGGATGGGGATCTTGACATCACCCAGGCAGCTCTGGGACAAAGAAAACCACCACAGAGCAGAAGTGCTGGAGAACAGGAGCAGTGTTCTGCTCTGCTCAGGCTGCCTGATTCCTTTCTAACGCCAGACAAGGCTGACATATGTGGGGAAGGACAGGACTCAGTAGGCCTGGGTCAACAGAGCAGTTGAAGGGTAGGTTTCAGACCTGGAAACTAGAAAGGAATGGGTACAAGGAGTTCATTCCTGACCCTTGCCCACCTCCAAGGCAGAACAGTCAGCAACAGTACTAAGCTCAACAGTCTATAAAAGCCAACTCCCAGAACATGGCTGTCAGCTCCTTTGCCAAGATCAGCCTCCTCCGCAGACAAGTTAAAGATAGGTTTTGGGTCAGTTGGCCTCTGTACAAATTTCAGCTCCCTTCTTAACCACTAGTAATTTGGGAAAGCTACTGAATTCTACAGCCTGTTTCCTCCTCAGTAATAAAAGAGAATTTTAATAGTTCTAATAGAATTTTAAATAAGGCTATTGAAAGACTCAAATGAAATAAATGCACAAAGTATACTTGGAGGAGTGTGGCTCACAGAAAATGTTTAACAAGTGTTAGTTGCTATTATTTCTTACCCTGGCCGAGTCCAACAATGCCAGCAATGATGACCGCAATCAGCGCCAATACTTTAGCATAGGTGAAAATATCTTGTACCACTGTTCCCCACTTGACATAGGCGCAATTAATGAAGGTTAAGAGACCTGAAAGAAAAATAATACTGACTGGTGACTGACCCTTCCCACCCAGGAGGCCATAGACTCCCAAGCGATATTTCTAATACCAGTCACCAAGACGGACCCTTGGGCCAAGAAAGTATATGTGAGCTCTGGTCTGCTCTTATGGGAAGCCCCTGCTGCAGAATGACCTCACCATTATCATTCAAGGGTGTTCTACATATCACCACATACTTCTTCCCCAGCCCTAGCACCGTATACAGGAGACACAGTGATGAGGCTTTGCATACATATGAAAGTGCACCAAACACCTAGTCACAGCAGTAGGAGGCACTGGTGGCTGTACAAGGTTAGTGATGTGTTTTGGCTCTTGGCTCTTTGGTGACAGTCTCTCATCATACACCCCAGACCCCCATACTCCACACGAGAGCTCTAGCACCCACCACTCTGACTTTAGTACTCCTGTTAACCTTCAGGAGTCCTGCTGTGACTTATCCAATGTCTGGGCCAGCAGTAAGGATGTGTGGCCAAGGATCAGGATGGAGGCCAGGCTTCCTGCCCACTGCCTGCCAACTCAGCTGCTTGTTTTTGTGCTTTAAAAGACTCTTGCAGCTAAGAGCAGTTCCCATAGAATGGGGATAGGGCATTTCTTCCTCGGGAAACAGAGAAGAGCCATTAACATTTCTTAAGTCCTTCTACCCTGGGATAGAGGCAATCCCTTTACCCAAGTGAGCTTCAGTAAAGTGTAGAGACCATTCTTAAAGAACCAGGGTTCTAGGGCCGGGGATTTAGCTCAGTGGTTCCACCACCTGATTCAAAAGCACAAGGTCCCAAGTTCGATCCACGGTACCAAAAAAAAAAAAAAAGAAAAGAACTAGGGTTCTTAACTAGGGTCTCCACAAGGCCTGAATTTCTTTGGCAAAGTATATGATTATATACATTTTAAAAAAAAAGTCTACAACTTTCATGAGAATCTCAGAGAAGGGGCTGGGGGTGTGGCTCGGTGGTTCAGCATGTGCTTAGCATGCCCAAAGCCCTGGGCTTGACCCCCAGCACCAAAAAATAATAATGATGATTATAATTTAGAGAAATCTATTAACCGTCCCCTCAAAAAATTAAAATTCATTCCTTTAGAAGAAGAGATTCAAGAAGAAAAGCCTATACATGCTGTGAGGTTGACTAGTAGTACCAAGATGTGGCAGGGAGGAGAAGAAACTGAGGTGCATGGAGCCCTTGCTGGACCCTCGGCTGGACCCTCTGGTGACCCTCAGGCATGCAGATGTACAAATACCTTCTCCTTGGTGTCACAGTGAATCACTTTCTGGCTGCCTCCTTCCCAGCCCAGCGTCTGGAACACCATAACTAGGGCTTATTTTATTGGTTTCTTGGGGGGTTTGTTTGCTTTTGAGAGGCCTCCCTATGTAGTTCAGGTTGGACTTGAACTTACCATGTAACCCAGGCTGGCCTTGAACCTGTAATGATCCTCCTGCCTCAGACTCCCTAGTGCTAGGATTACGAGCATGAGCATGCACCACCACATCCAGTTCAGGAGTGCTTACTTTAAAGCCCTGCTCCCAAGGGCTGCAAGGCTAAGGTCAGCCTCACTCTGCATTACAGTGGAGAAAGGGTGGGTTTATCTGCTTCAGGCCACCAGTATGGTCAGAAACCACCCCCAGCCTGGGTCTCCTGGCAGTGCATGGCCCCCAGTGTCCCCACTCTTCCTGTTTTGTTGCTTCCTGGCTTCATGCATTCTGGCCCAGGGACTACTTCATTCTGAGAAGCCGGAAAGACTGGCCTCTCAAAACAGGTCTCTCCCCCTCTCTCCCCGTCTCCCTCCCTCCTTGACCTTCTTCCCTCCCCCCATCCCCATTCCACTCCCTATCAGATTCTTCCTTGCCCTTCTGGAGAAGGGACATTCCTGTCCTATTCAAAGGCTTGCCTTTCTGCCTCAAAAACAAGACAATAAACAACCAAACTTTATCACAGGGCTGGGCAAAAATGCATGCTCCAGGCCACTCCACTGCTAGGTTAATAATTAAAGACATTGTACAGTCTCCACAAGCATCCCACAAACTGACCAAAGTGCCAGTATCTTGCCCTCTACAAATCTGTCAAATCTGTTGATCCTCCTCTGCCAGTCATCCATTCCTTCCTACCCACTGCACTTGTGCCTCCAGCCACTCAATAGCCCTCAGGCCCCTCCTCCCCATCCTGTATTCCTAACCCTCACCTTCAGGCTCTACTGCTGCCTTATACACACAACACAGACCAGGTGTCCATTAGAAACACCAAGCACAAGTGTACTGCCATACGCTTAGGGGAACAGGATGCCCTAATGCAAATTCCTGGTTGACCTTCACAGCTCACACCACCAAACTGAACAGACAGAAGGGACTAGTTCTAGTTCACAGTCAGAGTCTGCAGCTGTGTGCCACCAGGTCTCTTCTCAGCTCCCACAGATGTGAGCAGGGAAGACAGGACAGCCAACCCACTCACCACCTTTACTGAACCAATCTCGGCGATGAGGACACAGGACTTTGTATTTTGACCATACTCTTTCTCTACTGCTGTATCCATCCAGTTGACCCCTCTTCTGACGCCCTATCCCCTCCCAACTTCTGAGCTCATTTCTCAGTCACAGACCCCCATCTTGCCCTGCTGCTCTTTATTGATACCAAGGAAGCCTGGCCTCCATCCTGATCCTTCAGTTTGAAGGAGAAGGAATCTTATGAAAGAATGCAGTAGAGCTGGAAGAGAGCCAGCCCTCACCTTCCCAGAGCCCAGTTTCCTCCAGGGTCTGTGAGAACAGGAAATGGGTATGGCAGGCAGCAGTGCTGACTGCGCTCTCTGTCCTTGCCCCCAGTGGATACAGCTGAGCAGAGGCCCCAGCGCCCCAACTGCACTGCTCTCAGAGTCAGGGCAGGAGCGCACAGTGGAATGAGAACAATTTAGAGGCGCCTGCAAGTTAACCTCAAGGATGAATATGCCTGACTCTTCTATCTCTAGAAGCAAGTTAGCCCCTGCCTAGTCCTAGACTAAGTCCACATGACGGCCCAAAATGACCTTCAGGTCTTGACCCGGAGCAAGTCCATTCCTGATTTAATGCCAGGGGGAGAAAGAAGCTGCTGCGAAGATATCATTCCCATAGCATCTAAACAGATGCTCCTGAATAGATATCAAACACCGCCTACATGGCCTCTCCTGGAACAGGAGGCTAGTGCTGGCATTAGGACCTAGGGTCAGCTCTAGAATAAAATCCAGAATTCACCAGGCCAGGTTGATCCTTTTTTTTTTTTTCTTTCTGAGACAGTCTTCCTATGTAGCCCAGGCTGGCCTCGAAGCTACTGTGACCTTCCTACCTCAGCCTCCCAAGTGCTGGGATTATAGGCATGCACCACCACTCCTGGCAGGTTGATTCAGAAAGGAACAATGCTTTCAGGCCCAGTCTAGATCAATGCCCAGGGTTAGCATAGATACTCAAACTAAACAGTCCCTGAAAAAGAAAGTTATACCTACAATCTGCTGGATGCGGTGGCACATGCCTGTAATCCCAGCTATTCAGGAGTCTGAGTCAGGACAAGTTTGAGCCCAGTCTGGACTACTTAGCAATTTAGAAACACACTGAACAGGGAATGTTGGAATACACCTGTAATCCCTGTAATCCCAGCACTCAGGAGGATCGCCGTGAGTTTGAGGCCAGATTGGGAGACCCTATCTCAAAATACCGAGAGAGAAATAAAGGGAGGGGAGGGGAGGAAAGGGTCCCAAAATAAAAAAAAAAAATGTTAATGTTAAAGGACTGGGGATGTAGCTCAGCACAAAGGCCTTGAGCTCAAACCCCACTACTGCAAAAGAAAAAAATCCCATCTGCCTTCTCCCCTATCGGCTAACACCTCAACTTTTTCCACCCTTTATGAGGAAAATCTGGCTTCGAGACCACTCATCCCCTACTTCTGGACTCGCCTCTGCATTTACTTCACTGGTCAGGTCTCCCTGGAAACATAGGAACCCACAGAAGCCTCCAGACAGTGTTGTAGATGTGGAGTCTGAACTTCTTAACCGTTCCTATTTCCCCACTTCAAACTGATGAGCTTTTCCCCCAGCTCCTTTTTTGGACCTGTAAAATGATTTTTAAGCCCAATATTGGACTTTATATTCATTCTTACTAGCTTTACTCTGTGAGTTTTTAATGCACCATTCCCACTTATTAAAAATACCATAGGTAGGGCCAGGGATTTAGCTCAGTGGTTTCGACACCTGCTACGCAAGCACAAGGACCTGAGTTTGATCCCCAGTACCAAAAAAAAAAATACTGTAGGTTTTCCCCCCTAGCTTGTATCAAATCCCTTCAATCTGCTCTTTTTTGTTTGTTTTTAGTTTTGCTTTTTTGAGACGGGGCTCTCACTATGTAGTTCAGGCCAGTCTTGAACTCACTATGTAGCTGAAGTTGGCCTCTAACTCTCAGTTATCCTGTCTAAACCTCTCCAGCACAGAGATTACAGGGGTGCACCACCACACCCAGCTACTAAACCTGCAAATTTGATGAGCATAACTCCAGAGTTCACAGAAGTCACTGTACAAATGTTGACTAGGCACAAAGAAATCCATTATATTGTTCAACTAATATGTGTTAATAATTATTTTTTAAAGTCACAGCAAATAAATAAATCAGTCAATGTTGAATAGGATCACCAAAGTCCTGAAGTCTATCTCTATAGAACTGCCTCTGCCGAGGATTTAGCTCAGTGGTTCTGCCGCCTGCCTGGCAAGCGCAAGGGCCCAAGTTCGATCCCCAGTACCAAAAAAAAAAGGAAAAATCTATAGAACTGCCTCTATGATGCCATCATTCCACAACATCGTTCAACTGCCTAATAATCTATCAGATAATAGTTTAATCTAGTCTACTTTTTTCCACCTTGTCAACAAGAATATTTTTCCTAGAGAACCTTCTCTGCTCTAACAATCTCATGATGCTATCAAATGACTCAAATGAAATCAGTACGTTATTTACGCCAGAATGTTCAAGC